GTAAATTTCCAAACGTTGAGTACGGAACCGGTGTTATAGGAGGCTAACAATCCGTCGACAGTTGTACCAACAAAATTTACGAAACCTCTCTAAATCTGCTGCCATCGAAGCAATTGTCATACCAGGGACCATAATTAAATGTTGAATGTCAAATGAAAGCAAAACAAAAATGTAAACTTACGAATCTGCTGCATCCAAAGCAATTGTTATGTGACAAACTATAATAACTACAAGTTTAGAAAGCAAAATCTCAGACATGTACATACAGAGCTATTAAGTTAAAGATGTACATTATAAAATGCTAAACATCAGCATTTGCATAGAGAATCTGGAAAGTTAGGTTGTCTTTTTTTCTATCAACAATTATCAGCAAAATGAAATTAAAAATTATGAGTTCCTTAATGCTCATACCTTGTCAGATATAGTCCGCTATGATCGATTTTCAGTAAATTAAAAATTTTAAATGTCTCGTTTGCTTTGTCCAAAATGTTTTTATATTAAGCATTTACAAAAGACTTATTGATTAAGGAAAGAAATGTACAAGTAAACAAACTAAATGATTCAAGGTGGCTGTAGGGAAATAAGGCATGAGAGCCTATAAGATATATTTCCACCGAAAACTAAATGATGGGGATGTAAACCATTCAGGTCATTGTACGACCTTCGCATTTACCAAAATGTATACCGAATAGTTATCCTTAAAAGAATACATAATTAAACAAAAACAATTGTGGTAGACAGGAACCATCGACCCTACTGGACAACAGGCTTCGAACAGGCACATAAATAATATGGCATGGTAAAAATATTTTACGAGCGCTAATACTTCCTTTTTAACGTGGGATGTTGGATTAACCTTATAACAAGAGAACAGACTGTCAAATAAGTTTTCATGAATCGTATGTTGATTTACAAGTTTTATCGACTACAATGCATCACCGTTAAAATGTGTGTTGGAATATTCCATTTTAGTGAGATCTAAACAGATATAGTCAAACATACAAACGATATTTGCATCAGTAAAAGTATTTATTAAACATTTTAAGGAATATGAATAAATAAAGGCAACAGTAGTATACCGCTGTTCTATAGTCATTATTCGATTAAGCAAAAACAAATCCAGGTAACAAACTAAAACCGAGGGAAACACATCAACTATAAGAGGAAAACAACGGAACAACAGAAACACTGAACTACAACAAAAGCAAACGACAACATACATAGAAACGGACTGTCTGATAACAACTGCCATTCCTGACAGGGCATTTTAAGAAAACATAGTGGGTTGAACCTGGTTTTATGGCTAGCCAAACCTCCTGCTAATGTGGCAATGTTAAAAATATCGCTAAAATAACAATACTACGTCACAGGAATACAGTGTGAAACTATATCACCACAGTTGCCTTAGTAATTTTTTTTTTTGGTTTAAATGATTGCTTTGACAGCTCATGCTTGCTTTTGTTTATTGAATTTGTTTGAACTCTTTGCTTATATTGTAATGGTGGTCACAATAGAGTGCACATGAGTTACTCTAGAAACAATTGAATTGCGCAATGAACTGATATTATTCTTCATGTATTCCATTTCTTTGAATTATTTCGTAGCTTTTGTTAAGAAATAAAATCTGAACTTTTTTTTATATTTTTACTCCACTGCAGTTTATTGATACATAAATTATCGGATGATTTACGAAATATATCGTTAAATTTTTTTTTAAAAATCAAGTCTGCTTTTCTTTCAAACATTTACAAGAATATAATATTGATTAACAATTCCTTATTAACACTCAGTTAAGTAATTTTTTTTGAAAGTCCAAAACATTAAAAAAAAAAACGTTGAAGAGTTGATAATAGAAAAAAAGGCGAAAAATAAAGTCAAACCCATGCAATGAACCAGAGCTATAAGCATAAACATCTTGGTTTTAAATCCTTATCTTTCAGGACGTACAGTAATTCGACTTCGTTCGAATCTTTATGTCATTGCGTGGACTCATGATTTGATCTTAGTCTTGATTGTACATGAACTCAGCTTGTTTAGCTATTAAAATGAATGTCAGCTTAATAGGAAAAGTGAGGAAACAATACATATGTGCATTGACTGTACTGTTATACATTAATCTGGCCTTTGTAAGTCTTGTATGTTTTTTTGATTTTAGTTCCTTTATATGTTTTGGAGCTTAGTGTGACGTCCATTTTCACTGAACCAATACACAATTTTATTTAGGGGGCAGCTGAGGACCACCTCCGGGTGCGGGATTTTCTCGCTGCGTTGAAGACCCATTGGTGGCCTTCGGCTGTTATCTGCTCTTTGGTCGGGTTGTTGTCTCTTTGACATATTACCCATTTCCATTCTCAGTTTTATTATAATGGACATTTTTCATTTAAGAGTGTGAAAAAGATACCTCAGTTGTCCTTTTTGGAAAAATGTATTGGTTGGTCACAAGAGTCAGATGTGAATATTTTGTACTGTTCCTATTTCATTTTTTTTTTAATTCTTCCTACATTGTGTTTCATTTCCATATTTGGAGCTAAATTACTTCCGTTTTGCTAGATTATTGTCGAATAAAATATCCTCTCTTTGAATAAAAAAAAATACATAAAAACATATTGATATAACGTATTTAAGATCTTCACAGTTACAGTTCTTATATCCGTAGCTTTCAAATATTCGGCTTTGAACTTTCTTGGTGAAGGTAAATCCAGATGGTGCTTCGAACGCTAAAAAAATTTGAAATATATATTGATTTCCAAATATCTTTAATCAGATATTTTATAAATTAAAAATGATACAAAAAAATTAACAATTAACAAGGTTTTTAAACAAAAATAAGTAGTAAGTTGCGACTCTATGAATCTAAGGGGACCAACCACTTTTCCTTTTAAGTGACTATTTTAAAACTGTCTACTTGAATTTGTATTACTTAAATATTTTGATAGAAATAAAAAGAGACGTGACATTGTAATTATACGTCTATAAGGCAACATCCATACAACATAATGTCACTAAAAAAATGTAGTAGTGGTGAACATACGGACTTCAATAATAGAAGTTTGTTTTAGACAAGTTGAATTTATCAATTTAAGTCTGAAAATGACGGCTCATTAACAAGTGGTGGCGTTAAACTAGTATTTTTGGTAAAGCTAAACAAAATGCAGTTTCTTTTTCTATTGGCTTTTAAGCTTCACGGGTCATATCCAACTAAGTCAGACATCACGTGACTTTTGTGACGTATACTAGCCGCCATTTTGTATTATATTGCCCCATATAAAATGCATAGGTGCTTCAATAAAGTTGAGTTTTCTCATGAACCTGACCCGTTTTCTAACTTTTGCAAATCAATCCTTGATATTCAAACATATTTCTATCAAACAATGTTGGTCCTAACAGTTTAATTTTTGATTAAATTCTGTCACTGGAGAATCGTAAAAACATGTACTTTTTCTCGTTATTTCTCCGTTGACTCAATGCTAAATGTACCGATACCCATGTCTACTTGTATAACAAATAAAGAAATTCCGTTAATAAAAATAAAACTTTTCAACTCGATTAAGTATATTCAAACATATATCTGGCGAAAAATACTATTTAAAACAGTTTAATTTCTGGGCAATTTCGGTCAAAAATCGATTTAAAAAAGTGAATATTTCGGGATTTTTCAAAATGGCGGATGATGTATATGGAAATGTTGCATCAAATCGAGGATTTGTATAGTAAGACTCTCCTTGATTTAATTTAATTTTCATGTAGAATCTCTGATTTTTCTGTTATTTTCTTTGGTGATATTTCGATATGATTGATTTCAAAATTTATTGATTAAAAAAATATTATTTTAAGTGTGACACGGGAACATTTTATTTTTACAGATATCCAGGATATACTGTTACCAGAAAATAGTTAACAATAAAATTTATAATAAATTTTTTTCTCTTCTTTTTTTAAAAGGTTTTTTTCCAGTTTTCTGTATAATTTATCTTTCTTTAGAAATATATTTATACATTTCTTTTAGAACAAAAAAATATTTACGTCCCAAGAGAGAAAAAAATCCCAACAATTATTATAGATAAATATTCCATACCTTCAAAATCCCATCACTTGACGAACAGGTGAACTCTGACTTTGGATGTAATGTTACATAACAATATATTGTCAGGTAGACGTGCAAACCAAAAGCAACCAGGTGACATTAAACATCCTGTGTATACATGTATTACCAGAGTTTAAATTTTGTGATATACAAAAGTTTTCATAACTGTACAAATAAATATCTTCTCTTCCCCGTGTCAAACCAGAAGAAGTATGTATCATAATAAACTTAAAGAAAATATGAATATTATAAAAAAAAATCTTTAAAAAAATAATTTTTGCTTTAAAAGATAATCAAACTAATATTTATGTTTCTATAATTATTTTAAAGAAATATTTTGATTCAAATTTTAATTTAAATGGATTTTGTATTATTTCGTACAAAATTGAACGAGATTTCATTGAATATGATTTTATTATTTATTTTTTTAATTCAATATTTTAAGCAAAATCCAGGCATTCAATAAATCGATATAAAGTTAAACTTGTGTAAAAAAATTTGTTATTGTATACATTTCAACAGAGACATATAATACAATTGCTCTGATTTCAACAACATTGTATACCCGACAATATCGACAGAGTTATCGGTCCTGAATAGGACTGATATAGTTGGGTATGATAGCAACAAAGCACCAACGCAATTCTAAAATATATGGGTTACTGTTTGCAGGTTAAAACTATTTTCTTATTCATTGAGTAAATATTTTAAAAGGAATATAAGCGTAGATTTATTGCGCATGTTCTGTTGCTTATCATTTCTTATGTCATGGAAAATATATTGTTTCCTATTATTCCGTCTACGATATGCATGTTTAATATCTATGCTAAAGTTGTCTTTTGAATTTACTTTAAAATTTCTGTACAACTTAAAAATATTTTTGTTGAACGCATTACTAAGAATAACGTCGAGAAAATAGTTGGAAATTGATTTAATTAATAAATGAATAAACTGTTAAAAAAATATTAATGACTTCAAATATAAGAAATAAAAATGAAGTATAACATTAAAAGACTGTTTGATTTTCCTAAATATTTTTTTCTATGTACACTAGCAATACAAATTAAAAAAAAAACATTTACAAATGTATCTTAACCGGATGATTAATTCACAATGGAAGTAAAATTGTCTCTAACAACAAAAATCATAAATATATTTATATTTTACAAACAACCGTATTATCACAAAAGTTATATCATTTAATACTCATTTCTGGATCTTGAAAAATCCAATAGCAGAGGCTTCCTCATAGTTATACAGGTATTCAGAATTTTTCACTTCTATATATATATATTCCCCTTTTTGCAATTTAAATGCTCCATACAAAAACTCATTTTCAAAGCTTTGGAACTCTTTCCTCACGTTCATAGTCTTGTGCATAAGTTCTACATCGTTCATACCGTTTGTACCGTTAACGGGCCGTCGGTAAAGTTTTATTCGTATTTGGTGATTAGGTAGATTCTTGTAAGTTTTCTCAAACCTAATAGCTATAGATATATATACAATATAAATGTCAGATTCCTTTATTTCGAAGAGACTGGCTTTCGTGGTTTTTCCATTTATTTCACAATCCTTTGCTGGTTTCCAAATTAAGGTACCTAGATATAAATAAGAAAAGATTTAATTTTTATCTTGCTATTTCATGAATGGTTATACATTTGATTATTTCTTGATATAACTGTACTTGTTGGATGAAGGTTTTTTTCTGATACTAAATTAAGAAGATGTGGTATGATTGCAAATGAGACAAATTTTCACCAGAGACCGAATGTCTTAGAAGCTATAACAACTATAGGTCACCGCACGGCCTTCAGGAATGACCAAATCCCATACCGCATTGCAAACTATAAAATATCCCGACATGACAACTGTAAAACAATTTAAACGAGAAGACTAACAAACTGGTTTATGTACAAAACGAAAAATATATAAATATGATGCACATCAACAAACGATAACCTCTGAATTACAGGATCCTGACTAGGGAAAGGCACGTATTTCATGTGACGGGTTTAGTGATGTCTGCAGGCGCTCAACCCTCCCCTAACCTGAGATAGTGATGTAACGTTTATTTTCTAGTATTTTTGCATATTATCAGTGCGCATTATAGACCACTGGATATCTTCCCGTTCTCAACATTTTATTTTACTTTTCCTCTGTATCAATATAAAGTAAATAGTTCAGAGCAAATTAATCATTTGGAACCTGCGTATATTTGAAAGGAAAGGGAATACTTACTTCCATCGATTGATAATTCAATAAAGTAAACGTGGTTATTGAATCTAAGATTTTAATGGGCTATTACTTTCATCATGTCTACTATCTAAATTAAAACGAAACCAAAACTAAAAATAGGCTCGATGTTTCACTTATTAGGCATTTTTATATGCCAATTAATGTAACTTTTCCTCATACATCACACTTTCATCACCACAAAATAGGAAATGAATACCACTTATGGATACTTACCGTTGTGTAAAACTTCCGATATGGCGTTTGAGTGGGTACATATGTCATTGTTTACAGCGGATGCTCGACGACTTTGCTCTTCATTCATCTAAAATAAATTTCTAAATATAAAATATATCAATGATGGTGATATCATTATTTCCTGGGTTTCATTTTATTCATTTACATTGGTGCCATGGGCTTTTTTCATTTTTTATTTCCGCAAAAGTTTTGGTATGTTGGACGAACGTAAACAAATTGTGCATTTTAACATTTAAATTTAAATTAACTTTATTCGTCATTACGTTTATCGTTAGTTGTATTTTACTGTTATAACATCGATGCATAAAATACCGAAAGTAAAGGCATCAATATTTTTTACCTTACAAAATAACTGATGTGATCTTTAATAAATAAAAAAATATATATAGATATGCTTCTTTTTAGACACATTTTGACATCGTTAAAAATTCCTCAGTCGCATTCAGATACACTTACCAATTGATAAAGAAAGGAATATTGTCTAGAGTCCCTAACGCAACATGTGTAATTTTTATCATCAGAAATATCATTAAATAGATGTTTAGCACAACCAGAATGTTGAAGATCTTTTCCAGATAAGGTAACACATAATGTTGTTTCGTCGGTGTACTTCCACGAATCTAACCTTGAATCATCCACTGATTCTGCTGACCAGTGATATACGTCCAAAACTGTCAAAATACCGTATCCTAGCAGTCCAAGTGATACGGCAGATGAAACTAGGCAAAACATGAGCAAACAGGTTACAACACAACACTTTGAATTCTGACATGAGGGAGATCTTTGCTGAGTATCTCCTTCCACTGTGAACACTACCTGTTGCCTTGGTTGAGACATGGTCCTTGGTGGTGCCGATGGCAATACTGTTTGTCCTATTGCAACAAATTCATCATTTATTCTATTATCTAGACTAGAGTATCTTTGTCCTTCCACAACCTGTGGTCTTTCCATGTCTCTATTTACTATATGTTATCAATCCAAAATTTCAATATTTTTTTCAATACCTTTTTTCAATCATTATTTATCCCCGATTACTGATAACTTAATAGAAATTAAAACTACTGATTGTTTTCTAACACTAAAACACCAAGATAATATTGTGTTACATTTCTGATGTTATATATGATCAAATTAGGAAATGCCCAACATTAAAGTAGGTCAAGGAAGGAAGTTCAAAATTTTTCTCATTGATGATTGTTTCCGAAAGTCGTGACGTAGATTTTGAAGAGTTATATTTATCCTCAACCATACTTCAAGCCTTTTTTTCCAAATTCATTCGACACTTTGAACTTTAATATATATATAAAAAGTATGAAGGTCAATATAAACGCTGATTTTGGTTCAAAGACCTTACATCACTGAGTGCAGAAAGTTTAAATCCTCAGAAACCGCAATTGTTGTACCTGTATGTTTCTGTAAAAACTTCTTCGCATACATTCAGAAAAGTACATATACAAGACGTATTATGTACATGTACAAACGTATGATCTGTGTCGTTGTTTTTAAAACAATGATGTATTTTTCTGTAAATTCGTTAGCACGTACATTAAGAAAAGTACGAGGCGTATTTCCACAAAACCTTCAATGTTCAATATACAACACACATTTATGTAAAATCTTATTATATTAAAATAAGTGATTTCTGATTGTAATACATGTATAAAAATGTGACTAGTTGCGAACAGTATAATCAGGCAATATAATATTTTGATTTGTTTATGGTTACATGTAGTGATTAATGTCAGTATCGATGTTAATTTTGGACACCACTTGAATAAACGCCAGTCTCATATCAAAAGGTTGAAACTATCATTGAACTGGTCCAAGGACCATGGTTTTAACTGTGGAAGTAGAAAGCAGAATTGATATTTTTTCAGTTAGCCCCCTTTTTCAATTCTCGTGTGGTACATCAGTGGGCCTCTTTTTTTAAGTCCTAGTTGAAGTCCCTTTTATTTTAAAGCCGTAAGCCCTAAGTGTTACAAGGATCATAGTTTCAAATAGGTGCTGCATAATTAAACAGCTAAAAGAGTGTTATCATTACAAAAACGAACTACTAAACTACATTAGATTGTACTTTTATATTATGTCTTAGGCAGAGGTCAACAGGGCTTGCTTTGCCCAAAAGTAATTTTCTTAGTAGAGGTCAACAGAGCTTGCTCTACATTCTAGTAGTTAAGTTATGTGTTATGACATTATTAAACTCATTTAGGATACCGGTAAATCACTCTTTTTATGTGACTATGGATAGAGGTCAACACAGCTTGCTCTATCACTTTATTAATTTGTTTTGGAAAGTTACAAGTTATTGTTTTGTTCTTTACATCTGTTTTGCTTATCTTTTATCTGCATGTATAAAAATGTATGCATGTGTATTTTGTCTTTAATTAAAGTTTTTGTTTTACACTCTGCATATCGTACAAAAATACATGACATCAAGGTATTTTTGTTTATCTCAATATATTTAATAGACTTTTATAGGTTGAATACAATAAGAAGTTGTAAAAGTTGTAATTTTTTTTACATTATGCTATAGAAATGTAGGGAGGGATCAAAAGAGTTTGCCTTACATTGGCATGTGTACTTGTCTAACATAAAAGGTAGAGGTCAACAGGGCTTGCTCTGCTTTTTTATAATCTTATTACCTTTACATCCAGACATTGAGCTATGCTTAATATTATACACACAATTTTTTCTTTCTCTTTTTCATTTTAGTGTCGTCCTAAATATGAATGAAATGATTGCAAATGGACGTAAAGAAAGCAAGCATTTATTTATATAAATCAATCAATCTCTTATAAAATTTATCTCCAAGGTTTCTCGGGTGGCGGCTCCCCAACTCTGTGACTTCCCGTACGAAATAAGTAGTAGGATTCCACCTAGACACTAGTAGGAATGTAGTAGGAATCTACCTAGAATCAAAGATTCTGTATAGAAAGTAGACGGACATGGAAAATGAACAAAATTCTGACTGGATTTTTTTATTTTCTCACTAGTAAAATCCTACCATCTAGCAGGATTTATAAAAGTCTGTATGGATTTTTTTCTGTTTTGAAAATCTTAAGTGGGAATTTAGACAAGAAATATGATTAGATTGTTCATTTTCCTACTACAAGAATCCTACCAGAATTTATTTAATCCTACTAGAAAATCTTTTTACATGGAATCTTTTTAATTATCTTAAACTGGATTCCTGTTTGCTAATGACACAAATTTTGCTGTGTTGAATGCAACCAAGTTTCAGTTCACAAATTCAAAAGTTGGAGGGTAGAAGAAAGAAAAGTTGTGTTGAAACACAACGCTGCAAGGATCAAACAACTACAATATTGAAATATGAGAAAATATGGCTCATGTTGATTGAAGATAATTTTTATACTTTTAATATGAAAATTGTTATCTGCTTGCCAATATATTAGTTAATTCAACAATAGTGCATAATTTTACTCATTATTTTTTCATAACTCTTTAATTTCATCTGATCAACAGTTTTGTCCATCTACATATATAACACAATTTCTAGCTTGAATACATCACAGTTTCCTCATACATTTCAAAAGTCAACTTTTTAAAAATAAATCTATTCCATACATTTCCTTTGTTCTTTGTTGTTGATATTCAAACTTAAATGATTGACCCAGTTGTGTATTTGTGAATATACACTTACATTTTGTATATTTTTAAATTCCTACTAGAAAATATGTTTTTCTATGTGGAATTTTGAAAAATTCCTACCAGGTTTTCTAGTAGGAATTTTATTTTCCCGCCAAATTATTCCTACTAAGAAATTCCTGCTAATTTAAATTTTTCGTCTATTTTCCGTGTGGAATCCTACTACTGTCTGACTAGAATATAACTCCTTTCTGGTAGGAATTCATTACAATATTCCTACTATATTCCATGTTCATTTTGTGTGGAATATTTCATACAGGTTGGGGATTGTGGCGGTATTTATTCCCCACCTTTACAAATTATTGTCATTTATTCTGTTTTGGTTTATTACATAATTGTTCATAACAGTCAGTTGTATTATGTTTTTATGCTTTATGAATAAATGACCTTTATCGCAAATCTTGTGTTAGATATTTTGCAATGAACTCGAATCCTTGGAGTATTTCCTTCTCACGTCATCAGCTAAAAAGAAAAAATTTGGCTGACAAGAATAATATTTTGATTTGTTTATGGTTACATGTAGTGATTAATGTCAATTTCAGCACTCTTAGCTGTATCAAGGCGGCCAGTTAATCCACTTATAAACTGCGAAGAGAATGCACAAAAGTAAGAAATTCTATGTCACATGAAAGGCTAAAAACAACAAGTTAATAAACCTAAACACTAATTTCTCGACCCTTAATTTATCAACAACTACAAGTGTTACACCTACAGCTTAGTTATGAAGATGACATAACATATTCTGTCTTTTTTTGCAGCCGAAATGTAAAGACAAAACCAGTGGTTGTCATTTGTTTTCAAGCGCCTTAATTGTTTTCCCTATATGCATGTTATCATGGTTATGTATTAGGAGCTTAAATCAGTTTTTGTATTTTGCATTGTCCCGGGCCCTTTTGCATTAAAATATTCGAAATGGGTTCATTGTGATGAAGGCCGAACGACGACCTCAAGTTGTTAATAACGTTTTATTCTGTTCTTCGGTTGTATTTTTCCCCATGGCAGTCAAAACATCTCCCTATTTTGTTATGGATTATAAGTCATTCGAGCAAAACAAAAACAAATATGAATAGAATTTGCAATTTGAATTCCTTTACATGTAAGTTTGTATGCGAAGTCTGTCATACGCAACAGAAAAAAAAACATCTGAAATATTATATTCTGACAGACACACTTACATTTGTAAGCATTATTTCAAAATAGAATTGTAGGCCTGATGACTTCATGCATGGTTGTACTGAACTGTAGCCAATAAACGGAAATACACTTTGATCTATGAATTGTTGTCTGGTGCCATAGAAACGATTCAGAATTATTCATCTATTTGTTATGAATCATCGTGAATCATTTTCAAAAGTATATATGAGTAATGTTTCTTGAGAACTAACGATAAGGTTTATACAGAGACCAATCCAGGGTGGTTGTCATATTTTTATGTGTGTTATATTTATTTCGTTGTTTCCGGTATAAATTATGTGATCTGTAGTAGTGTACACCCTAGTCATTTCGTCTTTGGTGGATATTTGCATATTATTTTTATAGATTGAGTGCGGTTTTTTTTATCTGTCGTCTGAATTTTATTGCAATGATATAATTGGCTATGGATAGCAATACTGTTAAAGTGGAGCATTAAAAAAGGGGCTGCGACGGATGCTAATTTTATATTTTCTCATCATTACAGAACCGTTTTTATATAGAATTGAAGTTTTAAAAATTTATAAAATTACAATTTTGAAGTAGTTTTTAAGTGATGATATAAAACATGTCCATGAAATAATATTTGAAAATACCGTTATTCTCAATATCATCTAAAAATCTTCTAGGACAGCTTACTTTCGCATTAAAAATTGTTTTTTTTTTATCTTACCTAACTTTTGAACTTGTTACTATACTTTTACCTGGATATACAGATGTAAATTTTTTTACCTAAGTGAATTGACAATTTGTCTATTTCATCCCGCAACTGTGTTCTTAATTATATGGACATTTGCATCAACACTAGCAAAATAAATTGTGTTCAAACCGCAATGCTTTGTTCGTTTGAAACTTTTAGTAGAGTGATAATTTTTGGTTCATGTTGTAGACCCTTGTGACTTTGAGATGAAGAAAAGCAATGCATTCCTTTATTCTTAGATATGTGATTTTTTATTAGTTGTTTGTTTTGCTTTGAACTAGATTTCAATAATTTACAGTACTCTCAGATCTGAATATTGCGTCTTTAGTGTTTTTGTTGATTGTTATTGCTCATTTATTTGATCTGATGAACTAAGCCCTTTTAAACTTTTTTTTATATTGTGCAACTGCCACAGTTAAGGGGTTGGTTGGGCACCCGCACACATGTTTAACCCCGCCACATGCGTAATGTGCCTGTCCCAATTCAGGAGCCTGCAATTCGGTGGTTGTCGTTTATTGTATGTCATATTTTATTTTTTTTATTTTTTTGTACATACATTTTT